TATTATTTTTTAAACGGGGCCTCGTCTTCTCTTAATTTGACCTGGGAAACACGCTGAGAAATACGTTTCTTCAATGTGCCTGATGATAAACTTCAACGGTCTGTCCTCGAGATTTGCCGCGAGAAGTGTCTTTATTTAACGAGACTGTGTGTACATGTCCACTCGAATAACAGCGCGCGAGTGAGATTAGCAGTCGGTGTGGGCTAAGGCTAAGTTGGACGTATGTCGAGTTAGGCTTTGGTGTATGTCGTACCGCCAAAGAGCGACGGCCGACCGTGAACCAGAAGAAGAGAGATCAGATACTCAACCTGCCAATCTGTTATTGTTTTGTCGGCTGCCGGCCTTTCTGGAAAACTTTCGTATACTGGATTTCTGCATCGAATATTTCTGCACGCTTTGGTACGCATGTGCAGAGTTCAGTAATTTTGAAAAAAAAAAAAAAAAAATTGGTAGACACGATTATCACCTACATAAAAATAAAGATGCGGTAGTCTCCTGTGTGTAAGCATATGACATCACGACCGTTGGACTTGGGCCATACAGGATACAGCTATAAGAACCGCTGAATTTATTGCAACATTGTTTCAAATTTAAAAAAAAAACATACACAAGCGCCTATGCTTCTATGACCCTTGACGGTATTATCTGAAGACTTTCACGACTTACAGCTACAGAACTTTTATATCTGCGATGACGTTTCTATCGAGTATTCAAAACTTGGTCTGCCTATTGATAAAAATTTCTTAATGAGGAAGCCTTGAAAGTACAGTCGTCATTGGCATTTATTGGTATGCGATTTCATACGAATGGATTCCACAATTATGTAGAAAGTGTCATCGCAAGTGTGATCATATTATACTGCAAATTATTTACAAGTAAGGGTTACAGCTTTCGAATACACGTAACGTAATAAATTATGTTATTCAGTGTACTCAGTGATAGAAATGCTCGCCTACCACGCAGGCGTTTCGGTAATACCGCTAGGCGGACGTTTCGATTCCCGGTCGATGCGAAATTTATTTTACAATAACGAATCACGAGGAATAATTAGCATTTGCATGAATTATGATACGCGATTGGTATTTTAATTAATCGGGAAACAGGTTTATTGACACAAGGACAGGTAAGCATACACGTACTGTAAAGTGTGTGCCGATATAAGCCAAAAGACATGAAATATTCCATACTAAATATTACACGCTCGCCCGAACCCTGTACTGTAACTCCGAAACAATTACGTCCATTAAATGTCAAATTGCTCGACAACGTGAAAATGAAGAGAAAGAAAGAAAAGGAAGCGACTCCGACATCTCCAACAAGCAATGAAATTACGTGAAATCGTGGGCCGCGTCGAGGAGCCCACAAAGAAAAAGCCCACGAGATACCGTGTAAAGGTTGTTTAAGCTCGAAAGCCGGACTTGTTATGGACTTGTTATGGCAGCGTGTTTAAGAGAAACGTGATGAGCCCGATAAGAGAGACAGGGCGAAGGAGACGAAAGAGAAGAGGAAGAAAAGGAGAAAAGGAAAAAAGGAAGAATAGGAGGAATAAGAATGGAATAAAAAAGAAGGAGGTGGAGGAGAGAAAAAGAAAAAGGAATGAAAGGTGGAGAGGAGAGCGGCCAAGAGAAAGAAGAACGAAGGGAGAGTTAAACGACGTGCGGTTCACGCCGCCATCCTAAGGGCAGATCCGAGGGTGATGATCCTGCATAATGACTGAGCCTTGGCTCACTCATCCGCAGTCACTTGATGGGCACCAGTGAACCAGTCCTGTCCTAACGACGTGCTCTCGGATTACCAAGGTACCCACGGAGAAGACGGGACCGGAGTACCAAAGAGGAAGGAGAACTTGGGGAGTCGAGCGATCAGAAAAAATTCGAAAAAATCGAGACCAACAGGCGGGTTAGGGGGAAGTTCACAAGAAGAAATCACCTCATCGGATAACAATGAGCCTGTAGGTGAGGAAGAACGAATGGCTACAAAATATTTGCACAGTAAAATTCCATGGAAGTTTTAAGTATCTGGAAGCCACGCAAGGCAGCTAAACCTAACCTATACGTACACGAGTCTTGGTGGACGTACGATACCGCGCTAATTGCTCTCGTAAATCGTACCGACTGGTCATATTTTCAATTTTTTTTTTTTTTCTTGGACTCTCTGGTCTTGCTCCCTTTTTCTCATCACAACGAGGGTCACACGACGCGCGGCCACGAACTTCGTATAGACGCGTCGCATATGGGGAACGAGAGAATTATTGCTCGATTGTTGCGCCTGCACGGCAAGAAGAGATCTTGGCGTCGAGGGCGGTCGCTGAACAAGAAACGTCCACGAGATAACGTCATGTTGCATTCAGAGATGCGCAAGAAGGCTACACAGCTCTTTGGCGTATATGCCTTAGCATTCATAAAGCAAGACAAAAAATCCACCGAATTTATCTGACCTGGAGCATAGTCCTGTTTCGATTGTGAGATTCGAAAATATAAAACGTTAGAATCGACCGGAGCTGCCAGACCTAACCCTGAAACCTAAATGATCATCTCAGCGTAGAATCAAGAAGAAACCGAAGCAGAAAGTACCTGCTGAAAATAGCACTAGGATTTTCCGTTTTGAAGTTGCGACACGTAGAACGTTATAAAACTTTTTTTTCTCTCGAGGCATAGCAGGCATGTTTACCTACCGCCACCTACCTAGTGCGAGCCAGGCATAAAAACTGCACTGTAAGAATCGGCCATACACCAAATCCATTAACGACGCCCGTGCGAGACGGCGGTCAGGCGCGACGCGATTTTGAAACGAAAATAAAATCCGTCCTTCGTCCAAGCCTAACATGACCCAAGCTCACTCGAAGAGACGAGGCGCACACTCGTGCACCTTCGACGTCGGTATGCATATCAGCCTTTGAAAGGTAACGACCTCAGCTTCGACGTAATTAAATGCGAACGAGCGCGTTAGTATCGTGACTCTCGTTCTCTTGTCCCACTCTGCGGAGACCCGAGGCTTTCGATTTTCGGCGAAACTAACCTTTCGAGCGTAACTGCATCTGTATGTAACATACAAGTGTAAAGTATAGGTTAGGTCGCATACGCGAAGACCTGTATGCTAGTAGCCAGACCGGTATTGTAATTACGGGATCCCCTGGTGTATGGGAGAATGAGAGAAAGAAGGACGAAATATAGAATACAGAGCATATAGAGAGTGTAGAATGGAAAGACAGAGAAAGAGAGAGAGAGAGAGAGAGAGAGAGAGAGAGATAAAGAGAAAGGAAAAGGACATATATAATACCTGTGCAACAGAGAGAGAAAGAGAATGCACGCATACAACAGAAATGCAATGGCGCCGCCGGCAGGAGTCTGCTCCGCTAATGTCTGTCCCATGAGATTTGAATACATTTTAATACGAAGCCATCGCATTTTCCATTACGCGCTGTTTCTCCACTTCGTCTTTCGTGTGAAACAGAATTTTACC